GTCAGTATCATCAATAGATCCAGGAGTTTGCTNCTTTTGTCTCTCTGTCCCTTTTTCCTTTTTTTCTTTCATCTCTCTCACTTTTTCTTTTTTCTTTATTTTTTTGTTCCTTCCTTTCTCTTTCTCTCTCTTTGTGAGTGTGTGTGTGTGTGTGTGTGTGTGTCAGTGTTGGGTTTCAAAAAAATTTTGGAACCTCTTCTGTAGGTGTGGCCTGCTTTCTGGTGGAACCTCTTCCAACCGGTTCGATAGATTTGACAAACCGGTTCTACCGAACTGGTGCAAACTGGTAGGAACCCACTTCTGGGGGATATCGTCATTTTTTTCTGCTGCAATTTGGAACATGGACAGTAAACAATTCCATTGAAAAATAAAGTTGAAATTAGGAATTAAAGAAGAGCTTGCAAAAGAAGCTTACAAGAAAATGTCAAATTGAGTGGGTTAATATAGGACCTTGATTTTGGATTTTATGTTTCTCTAGTTACAGTTCTTTTTAACAAACTGTTCCATTTGTGTTTGGCCTTGGAAGCAAGGGCATGTTTTAAAATCCCTCTTATAAAGGCTGCCATTGGTCTTCTGTTATCTTTGCCCTTTTGAGAACCATATCCTTTTAACACACTTAATCTCATCTCAAGCCACATTCTTCTTTAAAACGATAAGCAGAAGAATCAAACTAGATATTTGCATGCAAATAAAATGCACCCCACATTTTAGAATATGTTCCTTTTGAATAGTTTCTCCCCTCAACCCCACACTCACATCCCAGGAAACAAAACCACCTCCTTGTTATTGTATTTTTGGAGAACAATGATCACATGTCTCTTCCGAAAGGCATTTGGAAATGAAATCATGCTAACTCGAATTGATTGATTGTCGGATCCTATGAATGACAGACAAGGAGTTGGAAAGCGTGTTTTTGTTTTGATAAAGTTTATGATCTTAGCTCTGTCTTTTAGTTCAGTCTATCTCTTAAGATGTAATTATCTGCCCCTACCGAGTATCACTACTGTAAGCTCAGTCTTGCCTACAGTGCTTTTAAAGTATGAATTCAGGTACAATATTATGTATAGAATTAAGGGATCGTGTTTTCTGGATGCTCTTCTATAAAACATAATCTTGATTCCTGTCCCTGCTGGAAACATAAATATTATCCACACATTTTGTACCAGTTGAGAATATTGGTCAATAACCTAGAGGTTTAGGATAGTTCTCTGCCATGAAAGCTAATACTTAATAAGGTAGATTACTAATTTGCAGAGAGAAGACCAAGTGTCTACCCCTTAGAGCCTTGGCTATAGAGTTTGTTTGCCTTATGGCAGTCAGCCATGACAAATAGTTCACTGAAGGGTGTAAGCTGTAAATCCTTTCCAACAAAACAATGATAAAAACACCTTTCTGAAAGATAAATATTAAACATTGGCTTTGAGAAATTATTTCAGTTTTCCATTGTTTAAACAAGATTCTGAAGCAAGTGGTATTTTGTCAACTTTTAGCTGTTCTGGAGGTCAGTTAATTATTTCGATTCAAGATGAGCTGACTTTTTTTTTTTCTGCTGCAAACTTTTTCAGCTTCTGATGGGCTGAAGGAAGCAACAGAAATAGAAAAATGGAAATAGAATCGTAGGCCTGGAAGGGACCTTGGAAGTCTTCTAATTCAACCCCTTGCCCAAGGCAGGAGACCTTATTCATCCTTGACGAATAGTTGTCCAGTCTTTTTCTCCACCGATAGAGCACCCCGCATCAAGCTGTTCCACTGAATAATTGTTCTCACTGTTAAGAAATGACTCCTTAGTTCCAGCTTGGGTCTTCCTCTGATGAGCTTCCAACCATTCCTTCTTGTCATGCTTTGGAGAATAAATTGACCCCTCCTCTTCCCCGCGACAGCCCTTAAGTATTGGAAGATAGCAATATGTCACCCAATTAGGCTAGACTTATCTAGTTTTGTTTTGTTTTTTGCCATACCTCATTCAGTTTAGCTTCCAGACCTTTTATCATCTTTGTTGCTCTTCTGTTTAGCCCCTCAGCATCTTTTTTGTACTGGGGTGACCACAACTGGATGTAGTATTCCCAGTGTGGCCTCACTAGCGCAGTATATAGTGGTCCTATTGCTTCTCATGATCTCGATACGGTTCACCGACAAAAGGGCAAACGACAAAAGCGCGCCCGACTAAATCATGGTGACAAAACCGCGAGTTCTAAAGCGTGCCGACGAATAAGTGGTGAATTGTGCCGACAACACCACGCCGACAGAAGCACGCTGTAAACCTAACCCTAAACCTAAACCTAACCCTTACCTTAACTTAAATCTCGCTTCTGTCTTCGTGCTGTTGTCGCCGCATTGATGACGTCGCGTTGATGACGTTGCGGTTTTAGCGCCACGGTTTTGTCGTTGCCCTTTTGTCGTGCACGCATTTGTTGGGTCACGTCTCGATACTATCCCTCTGTTGTTGCAGCCTAGGAATGCATTGGCTCTTTTGGCAGCCGCAGCACACTGGTGGCTTATAATTAAGCGGAGGTCCAGGAGACACCCTCTCACAGACACAACTCTTGAGCCAGATGCTGCCTATTCGTTACCTGTGTGTTTGGTTTTTCCTGCCTAAGTGCATGACCTTACTTTTCTTACCACTAAGCCGTTGGATATGCTTGATATGAATGATTTCAGCCCCTGAGTTAAAGCCAAAAATGTGTTGGGACCCCTATTTAAAAAAAAAAAATCCCCCCCCCCCAATAGCTTGTTTCCCTCCTAAAAGTGAAAGTAACACAGGAAGGTGACAAACAACTTTTATCAGAAATCTAAAGTATTTTCTTACAAAAGGATTTTGAAATTAAGCAAAAAGCTACCTAAACTTGTTCAGGTACCACCTATTGCCTATCCCTATTTAGATCCATTCCAATAGATCTAAAACAGGGAATACTTAAAAACAAAATATTTATAGTTGAAGCCAGACAATTTAAAACACGATCAGCCACAGTTATGTATCCTTTATATGGATGCCAGTTGGCTTGGTAATTTTCTAAAATGAGATAAATAAAAAAAGGAGTTAAAAGGAAAATCAAGCAGATCAAACCCTTTGCAGACTGCTCTTGGTTTAAATCCACTTTAAAAAATAAAAGCTAAAATGTACAAATCCCACCAAGGTCAAAAACATAATCAAGCCAAGGACCTTCTAAACCTTGGCAAATTCAATGTTATAGTGTAGATTTGATCATTTCTGTGTGAGAAACGATACCCATAAACACAATTTAAGAAAAGTTGAAAAGTTACAAGCTCAAATAGGACAGTTGAGGAGGGCCTATTGGTTTCAGGAAACGTCTACCGTTGGGTGAAAAAAATCATTCAGGCATATCCATCTATATTCAAATCTTGCCAATGTGACTAGATCACTTCTCCAAACTTGACAACACCTGGGTTTAACTATATCATTACGCTCAGTGCTTATTCAATCCTCTGCCCTGCATTTCATCTGGCACAAGTGATTTCCCACATACAAAGTTTACTTCTCCTTTAGTGGAAATATAGAAGATTGCAACATAAATCATCAAGAGCAGTTCAAAAATTGGAAATTGTAAGTTTTTAGGTGGTAGAGCTTTGAGATTGTAGCAGATATTTGGAACAGATAACAGAAAGTCCTCAAATTCCATGAGCAGAATAAGTTATGTAAGCTATGCAATTTTATTTTGCCAAACATATAAAACAACTTAGATCATTGTACAATTCTGAGCCAAGAAAAAAATATGGAGTATTAGGAGCAAAACAATTTGGGGCAATAAAATTTCCTGCCTGTTCCGTTGAACATGGACATAGTTGGCAGCTATCATTGTCACCCTGAAATATCAACTTCCACCTAAATCAGCTCCTTGGTTTCTCAGGCTACTAGTATAAAAATCAGGTAAGTAGAAGGCTAGATTGCAAGAGGAGGAATTCTTGAACATAAGAAGTTGGATATAGTATGAGGGATTTTTTAAGATGCATGAGAAATCCTATTTCATGTCAGTAGATGCAGTGAAAACAGTCACTTTGTTGTATATGCACATGATAGCACGGCATTAATTTTCTACACTGTGCAACATCTATACCAAAAACAGCTAAACAATGAACAGCATTACAAAATATTCTTTGGCACAGAAATACATTATCACGTAATTTTGCCCATTGTTTACTATTTGTGGTGTTTTAAATTCTTTATGTGTAGCAAAACTATGCAACTCAGAGTTGATTGATGATTCTACAGCATGGAAAATTAAAAAAAAAATACATTGCAGGATTGAAATAGGAACAAATAAAGTAACTTGATATGAGCATTTTTATCAAACCTTTCGAACAAAGTTGACTGGATTCACTTGACTTGAATTCTACTGCTGGGGCAAATTATAGGGAACTAACTTTGACAAACTGTCATATTTATATGAATTATTTTCAGCTTAATATTGAGGATGCAGGTTATATGAGAGGATGAAGGCCACCAAAAGGAAAATTGGCAAAATTGATCTGGCCTTAGATTAAAGTAAATGAACAGAGTTGAGTTTAGAATGTGGTCTTGCCTGTTTAAAGAGGTCAGTTATAAAGCTTTTTGGGGAGTGGGTGGGGGGCTGAACATGGAAATCTTCTATGAGCCGAGGTGGCGCAGTGGTTAAATGCAGCACTGCAGGCTACTTCAGCTGACTGCAGTTCAGCTGTTCAAATCTCACTGGCTCAGGGTTGACTCAGCCTTCCATCCTTCCAAGGTGGGTAAAATGAGGACCCGGATTGTTGTTGGGGGCAATATGCTGACTCTGTAAACCGCTATAGAGAGGGCTGAAACCCCTATGAAGCGGTATNAGTGAGTTGTTCCTGGATGCACGCCATCGAAGAGCTACTAGGCGTCAGGAACAATTACGCAATAACTTTTCTAACATCCTCATGAACATTTCGTTGATAATAATATGATGGTTAGAATGTTGATTGGGGACAACGTGGATTCAAGGATGGATGGGTTCACATTCAGTTGTAAGTATCTCTTGATCTCTTCTATCCTACTTCATTAGAATATTGAGAGAATAATATGGAAAAGCTTAAGGTCTTTAGCAAATAAATAATTTGGATCACAGATCATATATTTTGTCTTTACCAGCAGGTGCATTAACTGAAACATTTGACCTTACTCATTTGACCCATTTTTATGTTTCATCTTCCACCTTTGCAGAGATTGAAAACTGAAGACATTTGCATAACTTCAAAGACAAAATCCACAGAATTCCCATCTAAGGCGGAGGAGGGAAAGGTCAAGGAAAGAAACTTTAATATTCTATCAGACCTGTTTCCAGTCTACAAAAGTTGCTATGGAGCAGATCAGCAATTTTTTCCATTCCATCGGGTCTTTTATCTTCTTAAAACACCAGGAGGGCATCTATAACACAATCTGTCTTGCTGTTTTAATGGGGTTACCTGTTCTTGTCCTCCTTGTTGGAATCTTCATCTGTTGCCATTGTTGTTTTTGTGGCCAGCAGCAAAGGGACAAAAATAGCCACAGCAGCAGTGTTCCAATCCAAGGGAAAAGAAGGCATAATATTATGAAGAAGAAGAAAAAGAAAGAGGAAGATCTGTGGATTTCAGCCCAGCCCAAAGTGTTCCTGCTGGCAAAAAGGCCATCATCATTGGTTTAGAGGACTGCAGGCGGACAAAAGTTACTTTCCTTTTGTATACAGGAGTATTCCTATTCCTATCTCATAATGTGTTCAGCTCCATGTCATAAATCTGAGAACATGCCATTCTGTCTTACTTCCACATGAAGGAAGCTACTTTTTCCGTGGCACGACAAAACCGCGGTCCACTAAAGCGCGCCCGATTAAAGCGCGTACCTGACATCATCAGCGCGACAAATACGACCGCTGAGAAAAAAGGGTGCTTTAAAAAGAGTTTTTAAAGCAAGCCGATTCACGTTAAGGTAAGGGTTAGGGTTAGGGTTAGGGTTAGGGTTAGGGTTAGGGTTAGGTTTAGGGTTAGGTTAAGCGTTAGGGTTAGGTTTAGGTTTACGCATTAATTTTAG